TAGCATCCTTAACTTCACCTATCGTGGGAGCTGGCATGTCCTCCTCATCCGCTGTACCGATGAAGCCATTCCTCCTGCCGCCTTGGTCCTCCGCCTCTGCGCCGTTCAGATGTTCATCGTAGTGCTGCTTCCACCTTTCAATCACCTCACGTTCGTCCGTTAAGATACCCCCGCTTCCTTATCCCAACACATTTCGGCTCGCGGCACAAAGCCTTGGCGGGATGCGTTGAGTTTCTTGTAGAACTTGCGTGTTTCTTGAGAACGATACAGCTGCTCCATTTCTTCGCACTTCAGCTCTTCCAGGCGGCGCTTCTTATCCCGGAAAAGATGGGTTTGCTGTCTTCGCTTCTGCTTATATCGCTCCACATTACGGCGGGTTCCTTGCTGCAGCATCGCCGCCCGCGCTGCGTTCTTCTCGTCCAAAACTTCTTCGTCGAACCAATCGTTCCGTCGATTCCGCTCGACGAACCCAACGGCGCCTTCAGCAGCGCTGTTAATGGCTGCTTCCACGTTGCTCCAGCAGTTCTCAAGAGGGGCTTCGGTGAGCTCTCCCTCATCATTAGAAGGTAGTGGTCCGAATCGATTTTTGCGCCGCGATAGGTCCTGACGTCGATAATGTCCGAGAAGTGCCTTCCGTCGATAAGAACGTGGTCGATTTGCGATTCTGTCTGCTGCGGTGATCTCCAGGTGTACCGATATGGAGGGCTATGCTGTAAGTAGGTACTACAATGTTCTTAGAGGCAGCGAAATCGATGAGTCTAAGGCCGTTGGCGTTTGTTAGCTGGTGAACTTTCCTATAACCGGTCTGAATTGCTCCTCCTTGCCGACCTGAGCGTTAAGATCTCCGATGACGATTTTGACGTCATGGCTTGGGCAGCTGTCGTATTCCCGTTCCATCTGCGCGTAAAAAGCGTCTTTATCGTCATCGTCACTTGCTAAGTGAGGGCTGTGCACGTTGATTATGCTGACATTGAAGAAACGGCCATTTGATTCTCAACTTGCACATTCTGCTATGGATTGGCCACCACCCAATCACGCACTTTTGCATTTCGCCCATCACTTCTGGAAGAAGCTTCGGATAAAATCAGATGAACACTGCTAGGAAAGTTGGAAGAGACTTCTGGGAGAATTCGGATGTATATTCTGGGCCAAAGGAACCGGGAAATGGAAACACTACTTCGGATGGTACGAAAGAACCCCTAATTTGTATCCGAACATGTTTCCGGCGGGTACACGACGTAAGGCATAATTGACGTTTGGTATACGGACGTTAGGCAATACGGACGATAAGCATAAAGGACGTTAGGCATAATCTACCCGATGAATTCCAGAAGGATCATAATGGGGACCGTCTATTGATTGCTGACATCGGTGACTATAATGAAAGAGCCTTAATTTTTGGGACTCATGAAAAGTTGCAACGTCTTGGACTGGCAAAATATTTGGTTGCAGATGGTATTTTATCCACAGTTCCTTGTTTGTTTCGGCAACTCGTCACTGTTCATGGAAGTATCGCTCCCTAACATCAGCAGACGGTTCGCTAGTTTTCGTTCTGATGACAACAAAAACAGAATCGTTGTATCGAAAAGTATGGCAGGGAATCCTGGAAGCAACAGGTATGTTTTTTGTCATTGAATGAAAAACCACAGAATTACCATTCTTTTTTTCATGAACTGTTCTTTGAGGAAAACCTTTTCTTCTTTGACAATTGCAATAAGTGTGTAAGAATATATTACAACAAATGTGTGATTTTTTTATTTCTAGATGTGATTGGTTTCAAGATATACCTAGTTTAAAACTATGCTGAGTTTTCATTGCCAGATTACTTAACCACTACTCAACAAACATTGAAAGAAGAATAAGAGCTAAAAAATTGCTTGTTCAGCCTTTAATCAGCACAAATTGTTTGTTGGGTATCACTACTAATCTTGGATTTAAATATTAAGCTACCTCACTTATGATATTATAAATAATGGATTCCAAACTGTACTTATTGAATAAACAATGTTCATATAACTTGAATCATCTTTTATTTAACGCTTAGTCTAATTTAAGCATTGTTTACCATGCTCGGAACAGGTTTCTAGAGTTGCACAGCAGCAAGGTATTTTATGCCTAACGTCCGTACGCCTAACGTATTTATGCCTAATGGGGTACACTCGTTTCCGGCAGACTCTTGATCCTCTGGATGATGATCATGATGTTGATGATGATGATGATATGGAACTCATTGTAGCAAGCCACCTGTTAGTAGCTGTGGGCTGTGCTCGCTGTTCGACTTGATTGAAGTTTAGTAACTTCTAATTGTACTCAAACTGCCATTGTATGTAGGGCCAAAAACGGATTGGGTAGATCCGTGGGCAACATCGCCCGCGTGCATCTACGGGATGATTGAGAATCTCCTTCCCACAGTAGAATCATACAACCGATCAAAACACAAACCATCCAACAGGAGGATGTCCCAATGAATGGGGAGAAGAACCCGCCCTTTATTCACGAAATGTTAACTCAACTGTTGAAAGTAGACTCTTGATCCTCTGGATGTTCCTAAAACTTAGTGATTTTCGAATGTGCCTAGAACTTGTCTCCAAAGCAAAAATCTCACCGGAAGTTCCGTGAAAGAGTCTCCGGAAGTTCCCTTAACTGGACTCTGGAAGATCAGAACTTGCCTTCGGCAGATTCCATTACTTATCTCAAAAAGATCTCTGTATTCTTGAAACATGCCTCCGGAAGGTCACTTCCTTTGGAAGTTGTGAAAACTTGACTTCCGACCCGGCTGATTTCAGCAGTACTTTGAACTTGCCTTAGAATGGTCCTAAGATACTAAACCTTGGAAGATCCCAAACCTTACATCCTTAAGATCTCTGGATTTGGCTCTGATAGATTCTGGTGCTTACTTTTGCAAAATCCTTAAACTGTAAAATCCTCAGCTTGCCTCTGAATGTCACTAAAACTTGTTTTGTGAAGTTACTGGAATTTGTATTCAGAACGTTCCAGAACTTGCCTTTGGAAAATCTCAAAACATGCACGGCCAATGAGATCAACCCAAATTTGAGTTTAATTTACTCATAAATTGCAACAAGTGCAGGAGCTCAGCAATGACTAAATTTGCGTCATGTTTGTCCAGGTTTTTTCCAGAACAAAATTCCCGAATATGAGAAAAGTGAAGATTGGCACCCTCTCAGTCTATTGATTCTACTCCTAGATTGAGTAAGGTTTTCGTCAATTTTTCTTTAGTTCTTTATTAACGACACTTTCAGCCTTGGGCTGGTTCGTCTCGTACGTAGTTGGAGGCTTCGGAAGGAAGTCCCCCAAATTACAAAGTTTGTAATGGGATGGGACTCCAGAAGGGAGTTCCCCTAGTTACACAGTTTAGGGTGGAGGCCCCATAAGGGAGCCCCCTAATAACAGAGTTTAGAAGGTGGGAGCCCTCCCTAAAATCATAGTTATAGTTTTATCAGAGTTGTTTCTGTCGTAGTTGCTGTCATGACTGTCGTCCGGTTGTTGTTGTCGTATAAATCCCTAAGAGAAATAGAATGTGGGTCAGGTATTGTCGGTCGTCCATGTTCGTTTTCAGGTGAGAAGCTAAAGTTGATCTTTGTGGAGTTGTGCAGAATCTGATCGGGTTCAATATACAAGTGTTAGATGTTTTCCAGTAGTCCGGCTTCTCGGAGAAAACCGAGTCATTTTCCGGCAGATTTTTTAGGGTTTCCACTGGAAAAAATGAGGCAAATTTACTCATCGCTGAGTTCCTGCACTTTTTGCGATTATGAGTAAACTGAACTCACATTTGGGTTGATCCTCATTGGCCGTGTAGCTTTGAAAAATCCCAAAGCATGCTTTCGAAATTTTACAAAAATTCTTCAAAAATGACTTCGAAGGTTACAGAAATTTGTTAGAGCACTGACACATCTTTCACGTTCCTGGACCTTGTTGTATTTTCATTATAATTTCATAATTTCAGTTCGGTTGAAGAAATCTTTCGGGTTGGAAATGTTCTCAATTTACCTCTGTGCTTCCCACACAATATACACATTCATGCATTGGTTGGCATAAAAAGCTCTCAATAACTGTTAAAGTACATCCAGACCACTAAGTTAAGAGCCTCCAAGACGCTCGCTATAGAAGCGTGAAAAGCCTAGACAAAGAAAGAAAATTTCAGTGCTTATTTCTGGAAGTTCCATAAGCTTCCATTTCGAAGATATTGACTTCAAAATAACCTTTAACAGATATCTTTAAAATCGCTTTACTTAGAAAGTTCCCTGAACTTGCTTCGGCAGAATTTGTGTCCGGAAATTCCATGATCTTGTTTTCCTAAGTGTTGAACGTTCCCCGAACTTGCCGTCTAAGGATCCTAAGAAATTTCCATAAAAAGTTTTTGGAACTTATATTCGGAAGATTCCAGAACCTGCACTTGGAAAATCTAATACCTTGGCTATAAATGATCCTGGAACATGAATCCGAAAATTTTCCAAAATTCCAAAAATTGGTTTGGAATATTCGAAAATCCTGTATTTGTCAGATTCTGTATTCTGGAAGATCCTTGAACATGCCTTCGATTGTTCATAGGAGAATTATTTCTTAAGATTCCTAAATTCGCATCCAGAAGACCACTGGCCCTAAACCTGACCTTTGGACTTCCTGAGTAACTTTCCAGGAAATTTCAGGAAACTTACACGGGAAGTTTAACGATGCTTCGTGAAATGTTTTCAAATCTTAAGCATGGGCAACTCGTTGTAGATATTCCTAAAATTGTCACTTTTGATAACCATTAAAGGATCTTCCTGATCATGTTCCTAGAACTTGCAGGGAAAGTTTGATTATTATTTTGCAAGAGAACCTAAGAAATCATCCCACATATCGAAAAGGAACACACACACAAAGCAAAGTGATTAGCCCACTGTAGTCCGCCCGAAAAACTCATACTCAACTTCCCCCTACCAACCCAAAGCCAATTGCAAATAGATGCTAACAGTTTTCCATATCCTCCCATCTTTCAGGTCGGAAAAGGTCCTGGACCTTTCGATCAGCACCCGCAGCAACAGCATGACGCCGGAAGGCCAGGAGGCGAAGGAGAGCATCTCGCTCGAAAAAAGCAACTCCGACTCGAAGATCCACGAGAGCTCCCTACAGGTGACGGACACTTCCTTCACCCGGTCCAGCTCCAGCCAGGGTCTGAACAAGAAGGGAAAGTACAGCAAAAAGTCCAAGAAATCCAAATCCTACACCAAGCTGAGCGAGCTGGATCAGAACCCCCCGGGGAGCAGCAAAAGTACCGCCAACGTAAGCATAATCTCCAACGGTTCGCACACGACAATCGCCGCGGCAAGTTCGACGCCGAATCTGAAGAACGAGGACGGCACGGGCGGGGAATCGAGTCAGGAGGAACGACACAGCCTGAACAGCGACAAGGAGGATGTCCATTCGGACATTGTCATCAAGGTTCCGATGCAGATTGCACAGGCGCAGATGCCGGATTGTCCGATTCTGGAGAAGTGTATCAAACAGTACGTGCTGTTCTACGAACTGTACGTGTGCAGACAGATCTTCGACGGTACGAATGTTGAATCGATGGGAAGTTCGGGTTCGTCGTCGGAGCAGGTCAGCTTGCAGGATAATCTGTTTATCAATCCGAGCGATAGCAAGTGTTTACTGAATGATGATGTGTATGTGATAAATGCCCTACTGCCAGAGCTGGAGGATGCCTTTCAGGCGTTGCAAATTGTGGGAGTGTCGGATAGTAAGAAGTTGAAGGCGATCCTGGCCAAAACGATGGACCGTGAGAAGGATGGGGAACTACTGTTTGAACAGTGGAGTGGAGTCGAGACGGGGCCGGAGCGGAACTCGTTTGAAATCGACTCACTGTTGCAAAGCAATGGCAAGCTGAAAAGACTGGTCAATGTGAGAATATCGGAATCGCTGAGGAGTGCACTGAAGTTGGCTTGCAATGTCCTGACGGAAATGTCATCCTTTCCTAGCTATGGGAATGACAGTGGGATGAATGAGAAGTGCGATAGCATTCCTGGTTGGTTGAAAGCTCTCACTATCCTGGCGGCGTTCATTGGGGATCTGGACACGCAACTCTCCGCTGCACAGACCCTAATCGACATGATCAGCTTGCTGCGGACAAATGATCGGAAGCCGAAATCCAGAAGCTCCGGTACCACGTTCGTAATGATGATGCCCTTGTTGAAGCTGTCCCACGTACTGTACCTGGAAAAGAAGACAAAAGTTTTCCAAGTTCTGACCACCATGCTGTGGAATCATCTGGAAACTAGTCGAACCGAAGCTCGAAACATCAGTGTCCTACTGTACCGGATCCACAGCTGTTTGGATCCGAAATTCACCGAGGATGTCATCATCAGCAAACTGATCGTACCGCAGCGGGAAGCAAGCCCGGTAGATCGTTGCAACTTGCATGTGTTCTGGTCCACTCCTACTGTATCGACCACGGAACTGAAAATCGACCCGGCTGGCTTTCGACGGTTCCAGCTTCTGTGGAAACTCGGTCGCGATACTCACCATGGGAAGGAGTTTGAAAAGCTGCTATTCATGATCCTGGACGTGCTGACGCTGCCGAGCAATTTGTCCATCCAGGTGGCCGTGTCCAAGTGGCTTCAGGAAGCGCTGGTCCGCGGAGATGTGGGACGTATTTTGAAGCCCCTGTTGAAGATCCTGTTGAACGAAAGTACCAAGCGTAGGAGTATCATCTATACGAAACGGTACAAGCAGGACAATGACACGGGAAGCGAGTGGGAGAAGGACCTGGTGGCGGATGGGGATTCCTTTATGGACAAGGAATGCTTTGCAGTTAGTTCCGAGGATGGATGCATCCGGTACCATATAGACAACGTACTGAGCAAGAAGCGTAGTCCGATCAGGACGATTCAGAAGAAGATCTTTGGAGTTTCGATTGGATCCAAGTCGAATAGCAGTCAAGTGTCGAATTATATCACGAATGATAGTTCGAAGGAAGTGGCCTCAACGGCTACGGCAGAGGATAGCAACTATACGAAGATGTCGGTGATCATAAATCCGCTGGAGACGGAACTGAATGGTAAGAACTCCAGTGCAATGCGGAATCGGTCCAACTCGATGGGATTGATCGATTGCGAGCAGAGTGGAATGGAGTCGGGGTCGCTGCCGAACGGGGTAGACAAGAAGGATTTCCATCGGTCCACGTCGGACATCGACGAGGCGAGTGATGGGGACTTTGAGCGAAAGAAGGGCAGGCTGAGCGAAGGGAGCTACAGTCGGTCCACAACGGCTACGGGGTTTTACGATACGGAAACGATCAAACGGTACGTAGAAGATGGTCCGATTGTGGACTTTGTGAGCAGATCGGGCGATCGGTTTAAGAATCGGAAAACCTACCTTATCTCTTCTAGCGGTTCGGGTTTGACGGTGGATGACGAGGGCTTCGTGTCGTCGATTTCCGAGCGAAATCTCAACTATTCGTTTACGTCCAATAGCTCGTCCGTTACGGCGACGGCCAACGATGTAGAGATCGTGTTCGGGACAGGTTCTAGCGATCCTTCGGCGGCGTCGGTAACTGCTTCCGAAACGCCCCCGAGCAGTAGCGTTTTCGGAGGCGATTCTCAACGGAGCAGCAGCAACAGTAAGGATGGCATTAAAAGCAGGGAGGGTGAGTTGTTCGGGTTCGGTCGGCGGAAGAATTGGAGAAGTTCGTCCAAGTTGTACCCGTTCCATACGCATTTCCTAATCTACGAGTCGATCTTCAACACCAAGCAGATTCTGTATACGTTGGAGACGCTGGAGCACATTCTAGCCAACGATAGTAGGTTCTTTTTGTGCCTTTCGGTGACGACATCGGTTTCCAGCAGTCAGATCCGGTCGTTGTTGGTGCGGCATCGAAGAAACGTCTTCGGAAAAGGTTTCACCGACGGCCACGATGAAGCCGAATATCAAAGCATGTACAGAGGATGCATGTATCTGGAAGTTATCGTCACGATCCTACTTTACTACACACGAAGCTACTATCACAAGGACGAGGACCAGAAGGCTCAACCTTCCAAAGACGATCTGAATGGCAACTCCAAGATTCAATTGGAATGTATCAAGCTGATGAACAAGATCTTCTCCGAACTCCTGTCCATAGTCAAGGACGTCGGCAAGAATCTGGCCAACTACATCGCTGATCTGATGGAGAAATGCAAGGTCCAGAAAATCCTGCTCTACTGTCTTACCTCTTCGGTCAATTACTTTACATCTCCGCAATGTCACACCTATTCGGATGAGATACTAGCCTTCAACGATCCGGAAAGCTCCCGGCTCTACGCGGAAGCCTATCAGATCGAGCTTCTGAACCTGCTTCTAGCCGTAATCAAACTCGAACACGAAATCATGCTCCAGCGGAACGACGAACGCTTCAACGAAGGCATCAAGAATGTCCTCTCCAGTAACTCTCCGACGCGACCAGTTCCCGAGAACAAACGTATCTACAAGTACATTCCTAATCAGCTCGTTAGCCAGCAACCGATGTTCCTGTCGGCTGTTCTGTACGCGCTCAATTCGGAGAAACTCAAGCACATCCACAAGAACTGGACCGACATGATCACCTCCTGCCTCACGTGTCTCCCGTTGAACAACCTGACCAACATCGTCATCAGCATCATCCATCAACTGTGCGCCAACCTGGACCGAATCACCAAACGTGAACGCGTCCACAACCAATGCACCGATTACATCGTGTCTCAACTGGAAGCCATCACAGTATTATCGCACTACTGTCTACTGGACAGTTCCCAGCAAATCTCCCTAGCAAATGTCTTTAGCGCATCGAGCAATATGACCTCCCCTGCCACCAATTCCGGTCAAATCATCAACAGTATCGTGAACGTGTTTCTCTCTTCCTCTCTCCTGAACGTCAACCAAGCCAAAAACAGTCACCAAGAAGTAGCCAAAACTGCAATCCTTAGTCATCTTCCCCGCATTATCATCACCATTGCCACCCTTTGGGAAACCAGCATTAGCGAGTTCCGACACGTGAAGCACCAGCTGCTAGAATTTCTCAGTCCTATCTCACTGCACTACGGCACAAACTTCCTCACTGCCATTTCCGTTGCCTGGTACGAACGTAGCAATGACACATTTAGCACTCCGGCCACGGTCGATAGCACCTCCGCCGACGGTAGCACCGACGGCATCGACTTTTTCGACGTCATGACCAAAGCACTGCCCCAAGCGTGCGAAAACCAACTCCTGCTCGTCAAACTTATCTCCGGCATTCGGATCATGTCCGTAGACTCCTTCATCCTAACCATGCATCAGGTCATCAAATCCCCGCCCCAAATCTATCAACCTCCGGTCGGGTTCAACATCGAAGCCAGCGCCCTCGAGTTGCTGTTCTTCTACCTGAAGAGTGTCGCCCAAACCCAGTTCAACGATTGCTGGAGTTCGCTGTACTCTCTGCTGAAAGACTGCCTCTCCCTGCAAATCCCGGCCCAATTTGTGGCGCTGTCGATCCTGAACGAGTTCGTCCAACGCTGTTCGGTCATTCCCTTTACGGACAAGAAGGACCTGCGCGATTTGCACGACGTCACGTCCCGGCTGGTGGAAGCCATTTCGATCGTGGCCGGATCGTGCCTACAGCAGACCACCTGGCTGCGGAGGAACCTCTCGGTGAAGGAGGAGTTCAGCTCGATCGAGAGCACCAAGGACGGGCTGCTGATGCCGTCCAATCAGCACTACTCCATCCAGGCGCAGTCGGTGAGTTGGTTTAGCGAAAAAGTTAATTAGATAGTGGCATAATTAGGTTACATTGCAGGGGAGGGGGGACCCAGGCAATGGTGTGAACTCTTCTTTACCCAACGTAGTCATAAGTCAAACGGTTGTGTGGATTTCAGGAAATACCTCAAAACCTCTTACCCATGTAGTGTGAGCTAGATAAAGAAGTGCGCATTTGATTAGTTATTGTCGCCCTTCGTTCAATTTCAACTTCTGTTCAATTTTCACACTGCCGTACTCTAACGGATGTATCAATCTATCCGTTTCAGAACTTTCGCTGGCTAATAAATTATCCCACTAAAGCTTCATGTTGATATTAGTATAGCAGTTCCTCCCAACTCTCAATGAACTTTCTGGGAAATTCCCAGATAGTCTGAAATGTTGATAGAATTAAGTGAGCTTGTAAAAAATATCGCGGAACTTCCCACCATTTCAGGGAACTTCATAGAGGATAAGAAAAATCGGATAAGCTCAAGAGATTGGACAGCAGCTTAGGGAACTTCGTTTAAAATCATGGAACTGAGTATAAGTTCAAGAAACTTCATGGAAGTACAGGAACCTTTGTAGACATCCTGAAAACTTCGATGAATTTTAGAGTGGTTCGTTCATATTTAAGAGATATTTGATCAGTTAGTTGATTAGTTAGTTATCTTTATTAAGGAGACTTTCAGCCGAACGCTAGTTCGTCTCCGGAAATTCCACGGTTGATAAGCAACCATGGGAGGGTCTTGGGGAGGTTGTACGCGTCCACCGATAAGCAATTTCCTCTCAGGGTTCCTTCGACCACGATGCCATTTGGGAACGGACTGTGGTTTCTTTGTTCAATAAAATCATCTACCTATTTTTAAAGACTTTAAATTGATCAAGTATTAGGTATTCTGAGGATCTGCAAAAAATCAAATGTCTTATCTCAGATGTTCTTCCAAGACGGACGGTTGATTACGAAATATTCAAAATATCTCCAGCTGATTAAAGATTTTAGTTATGTCCTCTTTCAAGACTTCAGGCTGAACAAGGATTATTCTGAAGATCATCAATTATAAAAAAAAATGCTTACTTGGTCAAATCTTGTGAATTATTTAAAAAAAATCAAGAATGTCCTCTGGTTATTATTTTTAAGACTTCAGTTTGATCACGATGACGATCTGAAGATCTTCAACTGTTGAAAAATTCCAAATCTGCATTTATATAGCAATAACCATGACTTGACTGCTTAAACTATAATAAAACATCAATTTCTGTTGTTGTATCAAGCGGAATTTTCAGTTTAATTTTCGGAAATAAATTCGCGACGAACTATTTTGCGTTGTATCTTGTTTGGGTTTGTATTTGCAACTGACAAAAACAGAGGAACATAATGCGCGGGAATTCACTTGAGCGAGGGAGTGGTTGGTCCCCAACTTGAGGCAGGAGCCTCAATATCTTAAGCTGTCGGCAGCGGTACCAACTTGTGGATCGGTCGTTGGTATTCAGATGATCCTCTGCGAAGTGTGACAGTCCTCACAACACCTTGACGATCCGGATGGACCGCGATAATCCGGGCAAGCTCCCGCTGTGCTGGTGGAGTGTTCCCATTTTTTACTAGAACAAGTCTGTTGATCTACAGGTTATCCTCCATAGATTGCCACTTGGTTCGTGGTTGCAAAGATGAAACGTATTCATTTCTCCAGCGCTGCCAAATTTCTTCTAGCTGCTTCTGACATAACTGCCAAGAGTCGAGTCGATCAACGGGTACGTTTGGGACTGATGGTTCTGGCAGCAGATTCATCGGCTGCCCAATGATGAAATGCCCTGGAGTTAAAACATTGTAGTCGTCCGGTGAATTGGATATGGCATACAACGGTCTTGAATTAAGGCAGGCTTCTACTTGGGTGAGAATAGTATACAGATATTCGAAGGTTTGCGGTCCATGACTGAGCACCTTGTATAAGTGCGTTTTGACACTCTTCACTGCCACCTACCACAAACCACCCATGTGGGGGTGCGGATGGTGGTATGAATGTCCACTTGATGCCTACGTTCGAAGAAAAGCGGCTTGCTTGAGCTCTAAATTCATCGGATTGGAAAAACTCCTGCATCTGGCGATCAGCACCGATGAAATGTGTCCCATTGTCAGACAAAATCTCTGTACATAAACCACGACGAGCGATGAACCTCTTGAGCGCTTCGATGAATACTGCGGACGATAAATCACTGGCAGCCTCTAGGTGAATAGCTTGAGTGGAAAGGCACACGAACACAACTATGTAACCCTTGGTTAGGAGAGGTTTACGAGGATTGCCGCTTTTGAGGATGATTTGACCGGCATACAGCGTTGCCAGGTTGCCAGATTTATCTGGCATAGCCAGAGAAATTTAAGCTCTGCCAGACAGATTTTTTGAGAAGTCTGGCAGCTTCCTATGTTTATTTGCTATGCCAGATTTTTGCCAGACATTTTATTCGGGTTTTGCCAGATTTTTTCAAAATAAGCCTGGCATCTCTGCCGGCATAATCAATCCCAACGTGGATGAAAGCTCGCACTGGCATGGTGCGAACGGCTGGCAAGCAACCAATAAGTTGAGTAGCAGTCTTCGCTTTCATACGACAGCAGTGGAGGCAGTTCTGTACTGCCCGACGAATCACGTTCTGGCATCCAATTATCCAAAATCGTTGATTGAGTATAGCTAGCTGTTGCAGTATTGATGGCACCACTGATCTTTTCATCACTACCACATGCTGGTAGCATAAAATACGCAGCACCGTCAGCCATCATTATCGATATAGTCCTCGCCGTGTTAAGTTCGTTTGCTTAAATAAAGTTGGTATAAATAGTTAACTCTTGGACTTTTAATAAGAATAAAACATGGTGTCAGGAAGTGCCGCAGGCTTCTAACTGTTTCCGGCGTCATAAAGTGAAATCGCGGAAGTTATTGAACTGTTTACACAGAGTGAAAAGAAAAAAAAATCTTAGCTGTTCGCTCGTGTTTCGTCGCGTCGGCGGCCATTTTGTCAAGTGAAAAATTTCATGTGATTTAGGTTCAAAAATCCTCATCGATATGGATAATGACCAATTCAAGATGTTCTTGGAACATCAAACGAAAATATTTACGCATCTGATGAATACAGTAACAGCATCGTCGCGTAGTGAATCAGCAGCTTTTCGAGAGGTAACACAACCACAAGCAAGTGCGTCGTATGTTCCAGTACCGCAGCCGTCACCTCTATCATTGGAGGGCGACATGTCGGAAAACTTCGAATTCTTTGAGAGGAGCTGGGAGAACTATTCGAAGGCCATCGATATGAATAAATGGCCTCCTACGGATAATGCCAAGAAGGTGAGCTTTTTGCTGTCGGTAATTGGTGAACCAGCAAGAAAGAAGTTCTTCAACTTTGAGCTGACTGCAGAACAGCGAGTGGATCCACAAACAGCGCTCGCAGCAATTAAAGAAAAGGTGATAGCCAAGAGGAACGTAATCGTGGATCGCCTTGATTTCTTTTCGGCTGTGCAATCGTTCGGAGAATCAATCGACGATTTCAATACAAGACTCAAAGTACATGCGAAGGTTGCCAAACTGGGTGCGCTGGAGAAGGAACTGTTGGCTTACAAAGTTGTAACAGCTAATAAATGGCCTCGTCTTCGAACGAAAATGTTAACCATCACAGACATCACTCTGGAAAAAGCTGTCGATTTATGCCGTGCCGAAGAAATCGCTGCAAAGAGGTCACAGGAGCTCGGAATTTCTCCAGAAGTGAACAAAGTAACGAAGGTTAAAGGAGCATCGAAACAAAAATTACTGCGCTGTAAATTCTGCGGAGATGTCCATGAGTTCACGAAGGGAGTGTGTCCAGCCTTGGGTAAGCGGTGTCACCGCTGCAAGGGCAAAAACCATTTCGAGAAAGTGTGCAAAGCAGCAGGGAAATCGAAGAGCCGGAAGTCAAAGCGCATAAAAGAAGTGAAAGAGGATAGCGAATCGGAAAGGAAATCTGCTTCAGGAAGTGAATCGTCAACAGAAACGGAAGAAGAATACGAAATTGGCAAGATCTACGACAACTCAAGCAACGGAGGGAGCGTTCTGGCGGAAATCAATCTGAAGCTCGGTGAGTCTTGGAAAACCGTCTTATGCGAATTGGACACCGGTGCTAATACCAGTCTTGTTGGGCATGCTACCTTGATAAAGTTGTCCGGAGTTCAAGTGCCACCACTGCTTCCATCAAAGTTCCGTCTACAGAGCTTTGGGGGCAATCCAATCAACGTTCTGGGACAAGTGAAAGTCCCATGTCGTCGGTCAGGCAAGAAGTTTCTCTTGGTGCTTCAAGTAGTGGATGTTGTCCGCTGTTGTCTGCAAGAGCTTCCCGTGAACTCGGACTAGTTAAATTTTGCAACACAGTGTCGTTTGGCAAACCGGAGTCAGGTCACCTATCAGCACAGTCGGAAGAGCTGTTCAACGTCTATCGGGTGAAAGCGCAGAAGCTCGTCGATGGTCATCGGGAACTCTTTACTGGCTACGGAAAACTTCCAGGAACTGTTGGTTTGGAGCTAGATCACAGTGTCAAACCATCCGTCCAAGCTCCACGACGGGTGCCTATAGCGATGAGAGGTAAGCTGAAAAGTGAATTGGAATCCCTTGAGAATGATGGAATAATTGTCAAAGAAACAAGTCATACGGATTGGGTGAGCAATATCGTGATTGTTCAACATGGAGGTCCAGAATCAGGAGTTCGGATTTGCTTGGATCCAGTTCCACTCAATAAAGCGCTCAAAAGACCGAATCTTCAATTCGTGACGTTGGATGAAATACTACCGGAGCTGGGCAAGGCGAAGGTTTTTACCACCATGGATGCAAGGAAAGGATTCTGGCACGTCGTACTGGATGAAGAAAGCAGTAAACTGACAACGTTCTGGACTCCGTTTGGTCGGTACCGTTGGACACGACTTCCGTTTGGAATTGCTCCGGCACCGGAAATTTTCCAAATCAAACTGCAAGAAGTTATCGAAGGTTTAG